TGCATTCACTGTGGAGATGTTCCTCAATTCCACTCCTTCCCTACCTCAATGCACTTGTCATTCCCACTCAAGCTGCATAGCACTGTGACTTTGCAATTCACTCAAAATCTCCTTCTGCATAGCCAAGAAGAAGCAGATATCTTAATCAAAAGATCTGGTCCTGGTTAATATTGGAGATGCTATGAGAAGATAGCAACTTAGGTTCTTGGGATCCAGAGGGAAGCAGTTAGAGAAAGTGAAGACATATGGGTGCTAAGAAGCTCCTTATGAGAACTGACCTTTCTATTTGCTTTGTGTTAGTGTGTGATGGGAAAAGTGTGAAGGAGAAGAGATCGATGAAGGCTGAGACAAGTTTAGGAAGAGTGGCCAGATTGGAATGGATGTCTCTAGACAGAAGGACCTTTATTTTTAATAGAGGGCTTTTGGAGTCTTGTGAATTCCTGCTAATCTCCGAAGGTCTTGGACACTCTATCAAGTCTCCTAATGGGACCAGTATAGGTGCCCACAGACCTGTGTACCTGGATAGGTCTGATCATTCTGGATCTAGTTGTTCAGGCTTGATGAATCACTCCTTACATCACAATCACAGAAGAACTTTCATAATCCAGTGACTTACAAATAAGTTCTGCCCTACTTTGCAATTGAGGAAATGAATGCATTTCAGTAGGAGTAGTACTGTATCTTATATCTACATTAACATAAGAGATGAAATAGTGTCTCACAGGTCTATTCATTTAGTATCATTTACCAGGAAGCTAAGGGCACTAGTGACTATCACAAAAAGCTTGCATTCAAGTTCAAGGAGCTTGCAGGCTAGTCAAAATTAAGTTCATTTTGTCCATTGCCTTCTATATGATGGGCAAATTATCACCTAAGAGATATTTGCATCCTTCACTTTTTCTTGGTACAGGATGAGAATCTGTAATTTACATAGCTTATGTCCCTGCATGTTTAAAATTCATTAGGAAGCTGTTACTGGACTGTAGTCAGTTGAGGACAGGGACACTACTTTATTCATCTACATATGCCCAGCATTAAGTCCTATGCACATTCTAAGTTTCCAAAATTTGTTGCGTTGGTTTTTTTTCAAAATTACTGGAAAATAGTTTGTTAAAGATAAAAATGATGCATAGCCTTTAATAATCTTTTTATTAAACGGATAGATCCAAAATATGGCTCTAAAATTATGGGCTAGAGATATCTTATTTGCTAATGGAGAACATGGAGTCCTGGTGTGATGCTGTAGGCTAGGCACTGAACTGCTAACCACAAGGTCAGTGGTTCATACCCACCAATCACACTTGGAAAGCCTGTACAGGGTCATTATGAATGGGAACAGACTCAATGACACTTAACAACAACACCAATGGAGACCATAACGTCATACAATAGTATGTAATTTCTGTAGCTTGTATACAATTCATTTTCAAACTTGGGACCATCTGACAAGTACACACTACGACAAAGGTGTAATAAGAGTAACAGTATCTTACCAGGTTCCAATGCTGCAATTAAAGCAAAGCTCAAGAAAAATAGGAATTTACAAATTCTGACCGAAAACTGGAGTCCTGGTGTGGCACTGTAGGATAAGCACTGGACTGCTAACTGCAAGGTCAGCAATTCAAACCTACCAGCAGCTTTGAAGGAGAAAGATGAGGTTTTCTGCTCCCATAAAGATTGACACCATAAGACTCACTATATAGGGTTGCTATAAGTTGAAATCAAATTGGTGCCGAGAGTTTGAGGCCCCAAAACGATGCCATCTTAGTATGAGTGTGGCCATTTAGTCTGACAAGTACACTCTTTTCTGAAGAGTCCTGATAGGTCATTGGAGAACAGGAGATTCAGGACCATGGCTAAGCTAGTTGCGTGTTGGTGAGCTGTTTCTGACATAGGCCAGTCACGGGGCTCTGTAGACCCATGCCCAAACCTGGGTGAACTCAAAGTTTCCCAAGATCACTTTAGGAGTCAAGTGTCTTGGAACAGGCAAATCTAGAACCTCAGATTGTCTTATGGTTCCTGAATTTTGGGTAAGGAAGCTTCTTAGATGGAGCTGATATGAGAAAATCAGGCACTGTAGAAAAAGCACATTATCAGTGGTTCAAACCCACCAGCTGCTCCGTGGAAACCCTGTATAAAGTCTCTATGAGTCAGAACCAACTCGACAGCACTTAACATCCACAGCAGGGCACCCATAGATTGTTGGAAACCGTTCTCAGGGCCCTGATGGAATTGAGACCTCACAAGGGCAGCTTTGTGCAGGCTGGAACACTCACATGGCTCCAAAATGAAATTCACGCTAGTGCCTCCTGGGTAACCACAAGTTCTCTGGAACTGTGTGCCTGGTGATCTCCCAGCAACCCCCCACTAGTCATGTCATGATTGTCTGGGGTTGGGGTGCAGCACCTCGCAGGCTGCTCATTGCTCGTAGGAAGGATGGGGGCATGGCCTCCCCTGCTGCCTTCTAGATCCAACATCTATCTCCCTGTTACACTGTGAAGCTCAGCATAGTAGAAAGTCTGTAATGGGAGAGGAAGAACCTTTCAGAACTCTAAATAAACTCTGAAAGGATAGCTCCACAGGTACAACTTTGTTTAAAAAAATCACTGAGGAAATGTCCTGATAGATAATAATTCTGAATCGGCTCCAAGGGAAAGTGTTATGCTCCTGTCTAGGTTTGCTAAGAGTCCTCCAAGGGCTTCCCCTGGCATTAGGTAGCATGAAGGAACCTCTGAGGGAGGTGATAAATATCAGCTGTCCATTTGTTGTGTGTCAGGTGAGGCAGGTACTCGACCTACATTTGTTGTGGTTGTTAAGTGGAATCGAGTCGGTTTTGACTCATAGCAAACCTGTATAGGATTTCTGAGGAGTGGCTGGTAAATTCGAACCACTGACCTTTCTACAGTTACCCTGCAGAATGGTCTCTAACCATCGGGGAGGTGGTCTAAGCTGCCTAAGCTACAGTATCAGAGCACATCTGGAATTCAAAGTAGGATCACTTGGCCCCAGTAGCCATGGTCTGTCCATCTCACCCTGATTCAGTAGACTAGGAGAGTGTCTGAGATTCTGCATGTACTAGTCTACAGACCTCAAGGCTGGTCCAAAATCTTGAGTGGTGGTTGTAGGCCGTCTAGTTGGTCCTGACTCATAGTGACTCTATGTAGGGTTTCTGTGGCTGTAAATCTTTATGGGAGCAGAAAGCCTCAATTTCCTCCCACAGAGTGATTGGTGGACTCAAACTGTTGACCTTGTAGTTAGCAGTCCAATGCACAACCTAGTACATCACCAGGGCTCCTTATAGCCTTGAACTCTTTTTGTTGTTAAGTGCTGTCCAGCTGGTTCCAACTCATAGTGACCCTGTATAGGGTTTCTGAGGAGCAGCTCATGGGTTTGAACTGCCAACTTTGTGGCTCGGAGTCCAGGGCTGATCCTATAGTGCCACACCAGGAGTTCTTGAGTAGTAAGGCTTTATTATTGAAAGGCTTCCGGGTTGACAAGTGCTTCACATGAGTCACCCGTGTGGTGTATGTAAATGGGCTCAGAATCTTTGTGGGAGACTCCCACACAATAGCAGCTTAAATGTCACACCTAACAAGGAGCTTGTCATCTGAGCAGCAAAGACAGGGTGTGATGGGAACTACAAAGGAATCTGTCCCAACAAAGTGATCAACTTCTGTAGTCCAATACAGAGAAAGTAGAATAGCTGAATGCAGTGAGAAAAGTGAGGGTCTCAAACCACTGACGTTGGGACTCAACATCTTGAGATAAAATATGGATTGGACTGGAGTTCAGAAAGAAGGAGAAGAGATGAAGCTTCAGCTGTATAGAAAGGTTTTGGTACCAGAGAAGAAGGGAAGAGTTTCAGGAGAAGTGGGGGAAAGAATGTATATGATGAAGAGTTTGAAGGAAGAGCAAGACAGATCAACAGTAGTGAAAAGCTTTGTTCAGTTCACTTTCACAAATGTTTATTGAGCATCTACTATGTGCCAGACACTGTGTTAAGATCTGAGAACCCAAACTCCTGAATCCAGCTCTTGAAAAAAATAGCCAAGTGTGGAACACAGGGAATGCAAACAAATGCTTTTCATATAATGTGATAGGAAGAATGATTTTTAAGAATATATATCCAGTGACACTGAGGATGAAATGATGAACTTTACATAAGGGGGCAGGAAAGGCTTCAGAGAAGACACGGCATATGATCAAGGTATTAAAGGTTGAATAGGAGTTTGCCAAGGGGATTTCAAGCAAAGAGAATGGTATTTACCTCTGTACCTTTACAGAGGCATTGAACAACCCACTGTGTAGGTCAGGAGTGCTAAAGCACATGAAATAAGAAAGAACAGGAAAAGAGTACAAGGCAATGGACCTCCGGATCACAGAGGGTATTTCTTACAAATGCCCCAGATCTTGGGATTTAACTTGTACATCCATGAATCTCAACATGCTTCAATCCCAGTGCACTGGAAGGAGTCTCTGGGGAGAGTAGTTTAGCACTCAGCTAAACTAAGTGAAAGGTTGGTGGCTTGAGCCCATTCCAAGCATGGCAACTTGGAAGAAAACCCTGGTGATCTGCATCCAGGAAAACCCTGTAGAGCAGTTCTACTCTGACACACAGGGTGTCGCCACCAACTTGTTGGCATTAAACAATAACAACAAGCAGTGTATTTGGAGTCCTGGTGTGACACTGTGGGATAAAGCACTGGACCACAAGATTGGTTTGAATCACGAAGTCGGCAGTTCAAACGCACCAGCGCTCCTTGGAACTTTATATAGGGTCTCTGTGAGTAGGAACCAACTCAATCGCACTTAACCACAGCAGCAGTATATTTGCTTAGGAGGGCATGTGCAGATTTAAATTCCACCTGCAAACTGCCTTGCACAGAAGATTTCAATATACTCCTGCCTTGAAAATTACTTATTTCATTCAAGAATTGTAACAGTTTAACAATTGGTGACACTTGTGCTAAATTTAGACTCCTGAAGGAGCCAAGTGAAGGATGCATTTGAAAGGTCTAAGATCCAAGGTGAATAAGACAGGAGAGATCGCAACTGTCAGGTCAAGAGACAATGAGGGTATAATTGAGGAAATTGAGTCAAAGGGTGAGGATATACTGGAAAAATACTTCCTAGCTAAGCTCATATATTAGGAATTGAGGCTTGATTGAATGTAGGGAATTGGTGAGAAGGAGGTAGATGAGTAGAATGATTCCCAGATTCCTGGTTTGGTATGTATGAGATAGGAATTCTGGGGTTGTAGGATGCAGGATAGGAAGCTGAGGAGGAAGATTTGGGAATAGTCATTTAGTGTCATTTGAGACCACTGGCTTTGACGTTCGTATGGGAAGAACATCAGGGTAGAGATGTCCAATGGAAAACTGGAAGTACAAATCTAAAATGTGGGGTAGAGTTTATGTTTACAGAAAACAGATATAGAAAGTCATTTAATACAACATATATAAAAAGATAGTGAGAGAAAGACTCTAAATATTAGAGGATGATGGTCCTAAGTTTCTTGTAAGCAGGGTTTTGTCTACTTCCATCTTTTTATCAAAACTCCACAATGCCTTGTACACAGAAAGCCCTCAATAATTGTATTTGTAACTTACCAGTTAGATGAAGAAATGAAGGAGGCCAGAAACCATAGCCACTGAATTAATTCCCTTGGAATTTCTTTGCAAGATAAAAGTTTGATGAAAAAAATGAGATGCTATTTACCTGGTTTTTGTTTTGTTTTGTTTTGTTTTCAGCATGGGTCAGTAAAATACGTGCTTTGTTGACTGATTCAAGCTCTGGCCATACTATTATTCCCAGAGGAAATGGATCTTATTCTGTTGGTTGTACAGACTTGATGTCTGATTACACTACCAAGGTAACGCTTTGATTAATACAGTGTATCCTTATAAGCTTTTACTACTAGGTTATTACTATGACCCACTCAGAGGTGTATTGTCCTCTCCTGAGAATGACTCCATTTTGCCATTAGTGTTGTTTCATAAGAAGCCTGTTGCTAGTTTAATCACCCCCCCTCCCCCAGGTCTTTGCTCTCATCTGATGAATTAACCTACGGCCTCTCTCTAGTTTCCTCTTCCTGAATGGCTGAAACCAGGTTGCATAATTTCCTTTCCTTCAGAGTGCCTATGTTCCATTTATCTTCTCTTTTGTTGTGGTTTTCACTCACCAAGGCAACTTAAAATGTTCTCTGAATCTTTTGATGAGCTACAGAGTATTTGGATCCTCACTAATGAAATATACAAAATAGTTTTGGGAATATGTTTGAGATACACATTCATTTTCTTTCTCAACAGGGCAGCTTCTTGCGTCTGTATTATCCATCCCAAGATGATAATGGCTACAATGACACTACTTGGATCCCAGACAAAGAGTATTTTTTTGGTCTTAGTAAATTCCTTGGAAAAAAAGATTTTATGGCCAAATTTTTGAAGTTACTGTTTGGTAAGATTTCTGTTGATCTTACTTTGTAGGCTCTGGAATTACAACAAACAAAAAACCTTGCAAACAGCAAACATTTCAGGCAGTTAAAAATCAACTAGGTTTCCTCCTATCTAAACTTCCCCTTAGATGGCAAGGAAAATAATTCTGGAAAGTCCAGATAATTAATCCGAGAATCTGAGTTTCTCATTTTGTCCATTCTGAATCTGATGGAAGGGGGTAAGGGGATGCAAGTATCAGATATCATTCCACAATTTCTTTTTCGTTTTCTTTTGTCAACGTTGTTGTTGTTGTTGTTGTTGAGTGCCATTGAGTCGGTCCCAACCCATAGTGACCCTGAACAGGGTTTCTAAGGCTGTGAATCTTTATGGGAGCAGAAAGCCTCATCCTTCTCCCACGGAGCAGCTGATACTTTCGAACTGCTGACGTTGTTGTTCGCAGCTCGATTTGTAACCACTACACTAACATTGTAGGAGAGCAATAATGTGAGAGGGGCACATGAGCTGTTGTGACTAGTACCCTGTTTGCTCTGTAAGGTGCTGTTTAAAGCCAGAGAAAAACCAAGGAAGAAAGGAGAGAGAGAGGAATGGAGGGAGAAAGGAAGGACAGAAATAGGGAAAGAAAGCAGGAAGAAAAATAAACCACCATGATGTTCAAAATCGAAAAGGAATGAACCATTAATGTCATAAATGAAAGAGACTGGATTGTCATACCCATAACCACCCATTACAGTCTCCCTCACTAAGATAGCTCTGTCACCTCTTACAATCTTTTGTGCATCCATCACTTAACTGAGCTACATTATACTAATAACTTTGATCACATACTACTGTTCGCTCAATGTTATATCTTCAAATTTTCCCTGTTAAAATTATCTGAAACTTTAGGAATTCATTTTAAACCTCGCCTTCGTGGTTTTTGTTTATTTTTAGAACACTTTTAATATCAATGACAAGACTATAGCTGTGTACTTTGATGGCGCTACATATCTTATAAAGGAGCTCTGGTAGCGTAGTGGTTACGAATCAGGCTGCGAACCTTAAGGTCAGCAGTTTGAAACTACCAGCTGTTCCGCGGTAGAAA